ATGAGTATATGACTATTTCAATTATATTTTATTTTAGTAAATTTCAGGTGGTCCAATGGTTTAGAAACCATAATTCGAATATTTTCTTTACGATTTCAACTATAATTAATCGTTAAAAAGTTTATTTTTTATTTGTCCATGTAATATATTATGCAGATTTGAATTTATATAGTAACAGAATAATAAGAATAACCCGAATCATTGTATTTGCATGAGTTGAGTTTGGCATATTAAAAATATTCTGCTTGCTTTAAAAACATATTTTTGAAATAATTTTATCGAAGACATGAATAAAGTCGTGAAAATTTGCATATTTGTCAATTAAAAAAAAAACAAAAGTAGAAAATAGAAAAATAGAGACTGTGGGGACAAGTATTATCTTCTTTCTGGCTAGCAAGACAAATGTAGGTTTTGAGGGATGACAAAAGTGGTTCTGTTTTTGTTTTCCCCTCTCATCACTCACTACCATCGATCCTTCATTTCTTATTTTACCCTTCTTCTCCCACATTAATTACGACGACCCACGACAATTTTTTATTTTGTTTTTCTCTAGCCGTATTGGAAAATAAATGAACGAATACGGTGCATGGACCATTTCATCTTCATTTCACAATGGTTCATTGCGGAAGTTTTTAATTTAAAGGAACGAAAAGAACTGAAAAATTGATGTATACTTAAGTCGATTAGGAGATAGGGTCACGAATACACATAGAATCCGGTTCAAAGTACTTTTATTTCTGTCTCTCCTGATTTCCGATTTTTCGACCAATTATAATGTTAAAAAAATATTGAGATGACATTTCCATGTTATTCCGAAGAACTCCTCAATGTATATATGTTCTTTTAACATGTTAAGTTTTCATCGCGAGACATCGTTAGTAGATTCTCTAAAGATCCTTATGAAATGGTTCTTTTATATATATATTATGACAAATGAATGTTGGATAAGGTTGACGAAGTCTGAAGCTGGTTTTTAGGGAGTTTGAATAAGTCTGAATAAGTATTTCAATTTAAAGTTTGTTTCCGTTTGAGTCTCCTTTCTCTTTGTTGGTTGTAAGGCTTCTATATAAGCCATTGTTCCATTTCTATTGCAATTAATCTTTCACTTCAGCAAATACATCTTGAGTTCTG